ACACCCAGGTGATACACCCACACCCAGGTGATACACCCACACCCAGGTGATACACCCACACCCAGGTGATACACCCACACCCAGGTGATACACCCACACCCGGGTGTTACACCCACACCCAGGTTTTACACCCACACCCAGGTGTTAGACCCAGAACATCACGATATAATTATACGAGTATTCGTATTTCCAGTGAATGAAAGTGAGTTTGAGAGGTTGTCAGGGAAGAGAAGCGGCGGGAAGCTTGTAGGGCAAGCGTGTAATGGGGAGGCGGGAGGAGGTGACGGGTTGTGTCATTAGCGGGAGGAGGAGGAGGAGGCTAATGGGCTTGATGGAGTAGTGATCACTAGCACTCACTCCAACAACCACATTACGCTTGGTTGGCTCCTGTCTGTGTGGGCGCTAGTGTGTGTAGTACAGGTGTAGGGGAAGCGTGTTATAGGTGTAGGGGATGTGTAGTACAGGTGCAGGGGGCGTAATGCAGGTGCAAAGTACAGGTGTAGAGGGCGTAGCGCAGGTGCAGGGGAGGTATAGTACAGGTGTAGGGGGCGTACTGCAGGTGAGATGTACAGGTGTAGAGGGCGTAGTGCAGGTGTAGGGAAGGTGTAGTACAGGTGTAGGGGGCGTACTGCAGGTGCAGGGGAGATGTACAGGTGTAGGGGGCGTAGCGCAGGTGTAGGGGAGGTATAGTACAGGTGTAGGTGGCGTACTGCAGGCGCAGGGAAGGTGTACAGGTGTAGGGGAAGTGTAGTTCAGGTGTAGGAGAGGTGTAGTACAGGTGTAGGGGAAGCGTATTACAGGTGTAGGGGAGGTGTAGTACAGGTGTCGGGAAGGTGTAGCGCAGGTGCTCGGGAGATGTACAGGTGTAAGGGAGATGTAGTACAGGTGTAAGGGAGGTGTAGTACAGGTGTAGGGAAGGTGTAGTACAGGTGTGGGGAGGGTGTGGTACAGGTGTGGGGAGTGGGTAGTGTGGTGTAGTACAGGTGTGGGGAGGTGTAGTACAGGTGTAGGGGAGATGTAGTACAGGTGTAGGGGAGATGTAGTACAGGTGTAGGGGAGGTGTAGTACAGGTGAAGGGGAGGTATTGTACAGGTGTAGGGAAGATGTAAGGGATGTGCAGGGGTGTGTGAGGAAATGTAGAAGTGAGGGTAGTGTAGGGGAGGTGTAAGGGAGTGTATAATGTGGTAGGTGTTATGGGGAAGGTGGGTATAAGGGTGGTGTAAAGGTAAGGTAGTGGATGTTAGGTTGTATGCAGGTGACAGTCGTAAAGAACACACACACACACACACACACACACATAAGCCATCAACCTGTTTTTCGTGTTCTCATATATCATTTACATATTCACATAAGCATTATGAATCTACGCATAATACCTCATTAGCATACAGCTGGCGAGTGCTTCTGTGGCATTCCTCGTCGCTGGATACTAACATGTAATATATATGTACAGTATATGTGTTATTTTTTGACGCGAGGGAGAATATGTGTGTTATGTATTGTGCTCAGCTGGTAGTGGTGGCGGTGATGGAGACGAGATACTGACGTGGGGATTCAGTAGCCTTCCACATTAGTTAAATGAGGAAAGATGAGGCGTGGAACTTGTCATCTTTTAAATGTATTCATTAACAACAATAACACTCATATACATTTCAATCTAAGATGCAAAACATTCACGAAAACAAAAGTGTTGAAAGAGAAAAAACAACTATTGGGATTGAAATTAACTTTGTGTTGATTTATACCAATATATTACCGTAAAAAGGTATTTTTAGGGCATTATTATGTTTACCATAACAGACTACCTAAACAAATTATAACAAAATTGGTGAAGAAGTTTGCAAAATTAAACCTTAATGAAACAAAAAAGACATAGAAGTAATGAAATTATTTATAATGTTGATAAACGTTTTAGTTAACCTGAATTAAAAAAAAAACAAAAGTTGAAAGTAGCGCGGAAATAAAATTAACTGGAGCGCTTACGACTAGGTAAAGTGGTTGTCACGTACTCTGTATATAGTTAATCAGATATAGGTTAAGGGATCAAGTTAAGTAGTTCATGGGGTTAATTTACAATCATATTTACAGGACAGTAGGTTAAGGGAATAGGTTGTGTTGCTTTAACTTATATTTTTAATCATATTTAATTCAAGGGTTAAGGTTTAGAGGCTTATAGGTTATATATAATCATATCTAGGTTAAGGGCACCTCGTATATGTTACATTGTGCGAGGATTACAGTTTCTTTAACCTGTATTTCTCACCCGTAGTGCTATTTACGAGGAAATATTTTTGTTCAGTATTTTGATTTGATATCCAGCATGCGATGGTTTAATACGATGATACAGCAAAACAGCACAAGCACGGCAGCAGCACAGCAGAAACACCACAGAACCATCACAGCAGAAGTACCACAGCACCAACACAGGAGAAGCACGGCAGAAACACAGTAGAAGCACGGCAGCAGCACAGCAGAAGCACGGCAGAAGCACAGCAGAATCATGGCAGCAATACAGCAGAAGCACGGCAGCAGCACAGCAGAAGCACGGCAGAAGCACAGCAGAATCATGGCAGAAACACAGCAGAGCACGGCAACAGCACAGCAGAAGCACGGCAACAGCACAGCAGAAGCACGGCACCACAGCAACACATCAGAATCACAGCAGAAGAGAAACACATCAGAATCACAGCAACTCACCAAAAGAAAAGCAGCACAGCAAGGTAGAAGAAATCATCTCACAACAGAATCAAAACAGCAAGAAAGTGATACAGCACAGTGAGTACAACAGCAACAACACACCAGAATTACAGCAGAACAGCAGAACAACAGGAACAGCACAACAAAACCGCAACACAACTACAACAATAAAACACAATAGAGTGCAACAAAATTACAGCGCAACAGTAACGCAGCAATAACAACAACACAACAACAATAACAACAACATAGTATAAACAAAGCACCAAAACCTCAACGCAGCAACACAGCACAACCACAGCGCCACCGGAAGAGGTTTCACGAACAAAGAGTCATATTCAGTCACTGCACGTCTGTTGATGGTACCTGTGACCTTGTGTGTGTGTGTTTGTGTGTATGTGTGTGTGGATGAACAACTACGCTGGACTGGCCATGTTGCCCGCATGGACGACAGTAGACTGCCAAAGCAGCTACTTTACAGTCACCTAACGAATAGTAAACATAACGCTAGCAGGCAACTGAAAAGGTATAAGGATAGTCTTAAGACAAACCTGAAAAAAGTGCCAAATCGACCCCACTCACCTGGGAGACGATTACTCCACACCATAACGCTTGGAGGAGCACCACACGAGAAGGTGTCTATACTTTTGAGTTAGCCCCACTGCATACCGAGGCAGACAAGCGCCAACGCCAGAAAGACGCTGCCACCGCCCCTCCCGCACTCGATGTAGCCCCCCACATGTGCGACATCTGTGAACAACTCTACCGGTCCCGTATCGGCCTCTTTAGTCACCTCAAAACTCACCAGTGAAGGTGACATCCATAGTAACTCATATCATTGTATCATAGTTCGATGATTTTGGGGGGACCGGTGGTAGAAGCGGTACCGTTCTTGCCTCGCAAGCGAGATGTCACGGGTTCGATTCCCGGGCCGCTGGAAGTTGTTTGGACTTACTTCCTAGCCCCCATTAGTCCCTGTTCACCTAGCAGTAAAGTAGGTACCTGTTTTAAGTCGAAAGTTGCGAATTCGTATTCAGGGACAAGTTGTTGGAGCTTCCTATAACTTGATGACATAAACCACTGACTCTTCAAGCTTCTACGCCCTTAACACATGAGACTTAAGGCAAGCATGAACTTAGCATGCTTCCCCGTTGGGCACTGTAAACGCTTCTGCGCTTCACCTTACACAAGGATGTAGGGGAGCGCCCAATAAAAAAAAAAAAAAAAAAAAAAGTTCGATGATCGTCATACTCGATTCCACGTGACAGCAAAGTAGCAGTAGTATGTATGGTGGTGTGTTGTTGTGTGTGTGTGTGTGTGTGTGTCCGGCCCTCCATACCTTCCTGCTTCCTCCCAAATCTTCCTCTCTCCCTCCCTTCATTTTATACAAAGCCTCCTAAAACTCCTCTCCGTCTCAGCTCTCACTCACCCACCACCACATTCCTCACCACAACCACTACTAACCACCACAGCCACTGCTACCCACACACCACCACTACACCTCACCACCACCACCACACACACCACCACCATACTCACCACACCCACCACACTCACCACCACCACCACTACACTTCACCACATACTCACACCACCACCCACCACCACCACACCACCACACCCACCACCACCATACTCACACTCACACTACTCACACTACACCACCACCACCACTACACTCACCACCACCACCACCACTACACTCATCACCACCACCACCACTACACTCACCACTACCACTACACTCACCACCACCACCACTACACTCACCACTACACTACACTCACCACCACCATCCTCGCCACCATCACTACACTCACCACCACCACCACTACCCTCGTCACCACCATCCTCCTCACTACCCTCACTCTCACCCTCCACACTGTGCCACCCTCACCACCCTCGCCACAGCGTCGGGAAGGTCTCTAGCTATGCATAACTTCCTGATCCAGAGATCTCCCGAGATCTATGGTCGTACACGACTCAAAACTCCGGCGGCAATATCCTGCTAACCCGCCAAGTGCCTCTAAAACCCATCTGCAACTCCTCAACGCCCGAGATTTTTGCCCTACTCGACACCAAGCACTCAGTACTTTTTCCGACAGGACCGGAAGAGATTATGCGAAATTGTAATTTTTACGAGTGTGTGTATGTGTGTGTGTAAGTGGGGTGGGTCTCCGGGCGGGGATGTGTGCGAGTACTGCAGGAGGCTTGGTGGCGCCCCTAGGGTTCTTCTCCTCCTGGTTATTTGCACAAACTCAATTAGTGAAGATATTGCAGGGAAAGTAGCCAGGGAGGAGGGGGAGGGTTGAGTATGTTAAATGGTCCCTCAGCTGGGGATATTTGTGTTTCTCCTGTGTGTGTGTGTGTGTGTGTGTACACATACCCTACCTACATACATAAGTAAGACCTCGCATGTACTGGATACATTTATAAACCCCCATATACTTACACACAGATATAATGCCAGCACACACACACACACACACACCTCACAACTCGCAACTTACAACTCTCTCACTCACACAACCACACACACTGTAGACTTGTGTGGATCAAAACAACCCTTCCACCACTAGGGGGTGAAGGAGAGGTGATGTGTCTTACTGAATCTTCTCTTGCTTTCAGGAACATTCACCTTTATCGGTGTGTGTGCATCGGCCTCTCGACTCCTCTCGACTCCTCTCAGTTCACCAACGAATGTGATAACACTAATAATTCATATCATTGTAGTAGTAGTAGGTGTGTGTATGTGTGTGGGTGTGTCGCTAAACATATACAATTGTCACATTAAGCTATAAAAGGTAACTGCCAAATAAGGATCACTTTTCGATTTTAATGTTATAATTTTATAGAAGTTACTTCATAAACGGTATTATTTGTGATGTCGTTTACTATCATACATATTAACTACAATTTAGTTTAGGTTAGCAATAGTGCTTTCTATACATCGTTTGTATTATGGTTATAAACATAGAGAGAGTAGAGCTATACAGTATTTATATTATCCCTCGTTTTAGCTTCTATTAAGGTTTATACTTAGTATATTATATTCAACATTATAAACATTTAATTCTAACTCTATTCTACTGTAATCGAAAATTTGTCTTTATTTTACAGCACCTATGATGGGGCGTGTCCTTCCTTGAAACGTTTGAAGGAAAATGAGAATTTAGATCTTCACCACAGCCTCCGTTCTTCAGCAGTGAGCGCCGTGGCGTGACTGAGTGAAAACCGTAAACACCACTGACGGGTCACGTGATACCTGATAACTCTCAGGGTCAGGTCACGTTTTTCTGTAACATCAGGTTACAATCCTGAAAAATATTAGGTTCCTAACTGATATAGTTTTTAGTGCTTGGGAATTATTTAAGGTTCTCAAATAAAAAAATCAGCCTGGTATAATAATTGCGTCATGTCTATTTCAGTATAAAAACAAAACAAAACATGTACAGTATATATATAATTTTTTTGTGTATTACTGTGTATCCAGTCAGAAAAAGACAACCGTGTTTAAAGTTTTATTTCGACACGAGAAACACCTCGTGTTGACCTGCCCGAAGATTGTAAATAACACACATACCTCGTCCTCTCTCTCTCTCTCTCTGTCCTTGCCTCACTCCATCTGACCCTCTCTCTCACGGCCTCTCCCACTGTCCCTCTCTTTTCTCCCTCCCTCCCTCCCTCCCAGCTCTCCAGGGAAGCATTGATAAATTCATGCCTAGTTGGATATCCCGGAGTTTGTTTTGGCGTCTAAACTTGGCTAAGACTAGATTGCCTCACATTTGTATTCATAGAACCAACACATTTTGTTTCTGATTTTCACCTTAGGAAGAGACTCTTATCCTCAGCTGCCCCCATCACCTACCTCACCCCATCCTCAGCTGCCCCCCCCATCACCTACCCTCACCCCATCCTCAGCTGTCCTCCCATCACCTACCCCCACCCTATCCTCAGCTGTCCTCCCCATCACCTACCCTCACCCCATCTTTAGTTGTCCTCCCCATCACCTGCATTTACCCCATCCTTAGCTGCTTCCCCTCTTCAAACTCCCTATCTTCAGCTGTCCTCCCCATCACCTACCCTCACCCTATCTTCAGCTTTCCTTCCCCTCACCAACCTCCCCTCCCCATCACTTACCCTCACCCCATTCCCCATCTTCTCCTCCCCACCACCTTCCCTGATCCCATCCTCCTCTCTTCTCAATTCCCCAAGGCTTCTTCCCGTTCCTCTCCTATCTCCAATCCCTTCTCCCCACTGCACCATTTTCCCCCCCCTCTCCCCATCCTTCCTCCCCACCACACCAGTTTCCCTCCCCTCTCCCCATCACTCAGCAACACACCACATAAAAGGCAAAAATGTGGACGAATAACGAACCATGGTAGAAGGGGAAGGTTGGAGAGAAAGAGGGAAGAAGAGATAAGAGTAAAGATGTGAGGGGAAATAGGGGAATAAGATAGAGAAGTAGATAAAGGGAGAAAACGAGAGATAAGCACTAAGAGTAAGGAAACGAGGGAAAACGGAGGGGGAGAAAAGAGGAAGTGAGAGAAAAACGGATAATGAGGAGTAGGAGTAAGAGGAAATGAAGGAAACGAAGTGAAAGGGAAAGAAGAGATAATTAGTAAGAGACAGTGAAAGGTAAGGGGGGAGTAAGGGGAGAGGAAATATTAAATAAGATAAGGAACATATGAGGTAGAAAAAAAGGGTTAAATTAGAGTAAAGAGGAAGTGAGGGGTAAGGAAATAAGAAGGCGGAATAAAGAAAGAGTGGAGAGGAAAAAGGAAGATACAAAAAAGAGAATAATAAGAGGAAAAGAATAAGAAGGGGAAAGAGGATATGAAGGGAAGAATGGAATGAAAGAAAGAAAACAGGAGAGGAAGAGAAGAAAGACGAGAATGAACGAATGAGAAAGGAAATTTGACGAGAAACAGTCAATGAATAACAAGGAGAGAGAGAGAGAGAGAGACGAAATGAACGAAACACAATCACGGAAACAAGAAAGCAAATATATATTCCAGCCACAGGTCGAAAACTGTCTATATCCTTACGAATACATATGTCTCTTGAAAGTATATACAGTACAACTTTGTGTGTAATTCATATAAAAGTATAGATCCCATGAAGACTTTGATCCTATGTAAATACGAGTCCCTAACTCGTAGTTTTGTAAGGTAAACATTGTGGGATGTATAGACTCCAGAAACAAACTTCGCGCGCTTATACTGTACAATAGAGGTCGAGTGAAAGTTTGTGTACCTTTATAGACTACTAACCACGATGGTATAGGCCCATAAAAGTTTATATAGTTTTACAGTATAGATCGCGGTGGGTAACGAGAGTAATGGGTAAAGTTGAGGATGTGCGGGGAGCCCGTTAGCGCGCCATTTACTTTATTTCGTCCACCGTTCCCGCTGGCCAAGATGATAGATGAAAGATGAAAACAAAACAAAATGTAAATATTTTTCCCTGCCTAAGATACGGTGGAACACATTCTTCGTATTTACAAAATCAATTCTGAGTCTTGCTCTTGAAATGATAATACTAATTGAGAATTTCCCTTATGATATTTCCTCTCATTTTCTAAAAAAATACAGCCATAAAAAAACCGAAGTATATGGGAAATGAGCCAAGCTATAAGGGAAAGATCAGGAAACAAATGAGTGCCTCGGTCCATCGCGGGACACTCTGTTTTGGGGGCTTCAAAACTTTTACCAACTCTCGTGTTTTTTGTTTTTTCGTGTTTTTTTTTTTTTGCTGAGGGTGTAGCGAGCGTCCTCCAAAGCCTTGTCTTGCTCTCCTTTTAAAATATTGTTATTATCATTGTTTGATGTTAATTAGCCCATTCTAGTCGCCTTTAAGCTCAAATTTACGGTGATATTATGCGTAACGAATTTATGCCTCGAAAACTTTGGTGTCTGGGAGCAGAGTTGGCGTTTATGTGAGATCCACACTAACGGGAGGGGGTAGTATTATCAGCAAGGAGAGTGCTAGCTGTTCTTTATCTAGGTAAATTTACATCCACATTATGTAAATACGTATTGTTCACCTCCACCCCGAGAAAGCACAACGTCTATTGTCTTGTAAAAGCTTCTAATATTGTAAATAATACTTTTCGAATTTCATAATTTTGCTTTTATTTCTTTTTATTTGTTTATTCATTTATTAATAAGGATATAGGTATTTGATTATGTTGCTTCTTCATCTTTTAAGTTAAATATTAATGTGTTCATTATTTTCATCTCTGATCTGTGTTGATGTGTAGTATGAAAATTAGTACAGTCGCCATCCATTTTGTGTGGCGACCTATATAAACCTTAGAGCATTAAAATTCACCATTACAAAAACATATTATGACTTGCAGTTTTCTCATACATTAGCCAACATCTAGATGGTATTCGCTACACAAAAACAAGATGTGGCAACCCCCTGGCCAGGTAAGGGAAGATATTTGGATGTTTATTCTTTATTATGCTACCTGTGAGGCAAGACGCTGTCTGTCTGTCTGTTTTCTACATATCTGCCTCTGTCTGTGTCTACATATCTGTCTGTTTGTCTTTTTGTTACCTGTCTGACTATCAATCTGTCTACCTGTCTGCCAATCTGACTATATGTATGGCTTTACCTGTCTGTATATCTACCTGTCTGACTCAATGTTTATCTGTCTGTTAATATTCTGGTTTCAATAGGATAATTTTTCCAAACACTGTACACCTGAACCAGACACTGGAAGAATTACTCGGGGAGGGAAAAAATATATAAGGAGATTTACTTTGTGGTCAGGTCAAAAGAAGGTCAAGGCGTCACCGGGTGAATGCAAATGAGGGCCAACAGAGCTTGTGTACACTGTCGGCCTCACTGATGTAAAAAGTTAATTAACAACAGCCAAGAATGTATACAGATGTAACGTAAGGATGAATAAGATGATTAAAAACAAACAGGAATACACAACCTAACCTAACCTAACCTCCCCTAACCTAACCTACTCAAGCCTAATCTTACCTAACCTTGCTAACTAAACCCAAACTATTTTAACTCGATATGACTTACCTAACCAAACATTACCTAACCTAACATAATCTGCCTAACCCAACCCAACCCGACCCAACCTAACTTAACCTAACCTAAGGATGCGTAAAAAAGAATGTGTTTTAATTTACATACAAGGGTACGACTTACACTACCCACGCACGAGAGAGCAAGGTATGGGTGGGTTGTGTATTGAATTGATGTCCTTCACATGCACAAGGCTGATTCGGTCATGCGCACTAAGACAAAGTGGTCGACCTAGAATGCAAATCTTGTGTGGGGGATGAGTGGAGGAAGAGGAGGAAGAGGAGGAAGAAGAGGAAGAGGAGGAAGGGGAGGAAGAGGAGGAAGAGGAGGAAGGGGAGGAAGAGGAGGAAGGGGAGGAAGAGGAGGAAGAGGAGTAGTTAGAAGAGGAGACAAGGAGAAGAGAGGAGATGGAAGAGGAAAAAAAGCGAGGGTGGGTAGGAACGGAAGAGGAAATGAGATGGAAGAAGAGGAGAGGAGATGGAAGAGGAGGAGAAAAGGAGAGGGACAGGAGAGGAGAGAAGACGGTAGAGGAGAGGAGAGAAGAAGGAAGAGGAAAGGAAAGAAGAAGGAAGAGGAAAATAGATGGTAAAGGAGGAAAGGAGGAGAGGAGGAGGAAGAAGATGAGAGGAGAAGAGGAGGAGAAAGACGATGAGAGAAGGAAAAGAGGGAAGGAGGAGGAAGAGGAGGAAAGGAGGGGGAAGAGGATGGGAGGAGGAACGGAGGAGAGGAGGAGGAAGAAAGGAGAGGAGAGAAGAAGAGACGGAAGAAGATGAGAGGAGGAAAAGAGGAGGAAGAGAAAGAGAGGAGAGAAGAAGAGAAGGAAGATGAGAGAAAAAGAAAGAGCAGAAGAGAGGAGTAAGAAGGGGTTGAAAAGGAGAGAAGGAAGAGAAAGAAGAGAAGGAAGAGGAGGAGAAAAGAGATGGAGGAAGACGAGGAGAGGAGAGAGAAGTGGAGGAAAAGAAAGAAGGAAGAGGAGAGGAGAGAAGAAGGAAGAGGAGGAGAGGAAGAGGAATATGAAGAAGAGAGGAAGGGGTAGAGGAAAAGGATTAGGATGAAAGGAGGACAGGAGAAAGAAATGGGGGAGAAGGAAGGAGAAATAAGGGAAGGCGATGAGAGAAGAAGGAAGAGAAGAAGAGGGAGAGGAGTAGAGGGGGAAGAAGAGGAGAGGGGGACGAGGAGAAAAAACAAAAGCATAATCGGCCGAAAATACTGTTTTAATTCTTCATAAGGTTGGTCACGGCTTGTCAGCATCACTTATAGTTATGGAGGCAAGATACCGTAGGTGATAGAGACAAACCTAAGCTAACCTAACCTAAGTCAACTAGGCCTCACCAGTTCCAATAATGTGTCATGGAAGCCACACATCCACACCACAGCTAAAGCTGCCTCCGAAAACTGGGAATGCTATACAGATGCCGTAGCTACTACACTCCTGAGCAGTTGCTTCAAGTTTATAAGGGATTCATTCGTCCTAACTTGGAGTACTGCTCTCCTATCTGGGGTGGCTCTTCTTCTGTCCAACTGATAGATAGGGTGGAATCAAAGGCATTTCGTCTTATTAACTCTCCTCCTTTAGTCTTTAATCTCTCTTCCCTTTCTCTTCGCCGCAATGTTGGATTTGGCTTCCTGTGTACCGCCGGCAAGGCCGTGGGCTCGTAACACACGTCTTGCCCACGGTGCCCACCGTTTCTGTGTGGATGTTGGTCACACTAGAATAGCCCGTTATAGTACATCCTTCTTTCCTCACACAACCAAACTGTGGAATGCTCTGCCTTCTTCTGTGTTTCCATGCTCTTACAATCTGTATCACTTCAAAAAAGCTGGTTTTCCAGCATCTTTGTGGTGTAGATTAATACAGTCTTTTTCTCCTATAATTTTTTTATATATTCTTACCTTTTCACCCCCAGGACCCGTTGTGGGTCGATGACCTGTGCCCGAGTGGGCTATTCCCCGCAAAATAAATAAATATATAAATAAATTAATAACCCGACCTATTGATCTTAAGTTGGGAGATAAAGTAAGAGGGAGAGAGATGATTAAACAGGTAGAGAAGGTGACATAGAAGAGAATAAAACAGAAAGAGAATAGAGATGAAGGCAACAACAAGGAAAATATGAAATGAGGTGAAAGGATAAAGTAAGAATCAGAGTGGATAATGAGGAAAGGATAAAGTGGGAGTAAAAGTAGATGAAAAGACAAAGAATAATCCAAGAATAACAATTTAAAATACAATGGCAAGAAGATACTAGAAACCGCGTCTTACTTTCAGCTAATACACTATGTACCACTGAACCAAATTATCTAACTCTTCTCAGATCGATCGAGTGGTTACTGAGGTACAGACAGTCAGATGAACTAAACAAGATGTGAACTGATGTTGCAGCTGAGGAAGACAGAGCTGAGAAATATAGAACTAAGGAACACAGAGTGAGGAACACAGAGCTGAGAAATATAGAACTGAGGAACACAGAGCTGAGAAAGATACAACTGAGGAACACAGAGCTGAGAAATATAGAGCTGAGAACACAGAAATGAGAAAGATAGAACTGAGGAACACAGAGCTGAGGAAGAAAGAATTGAAGAACACAGAGGTGAGGAAGAGAGAACTGAGGAACACAGAGTTCAGGAGCATGGCGCTAAAGAAGAGAGAACTGAGGAAGAGAAAACTGAGGAACACAGAGCTGAGGAACATAAAGCGAAGGAAGAGAGCAAAGTATAAAGTACCTCTTACCAAAATATCACCACACGAGAAAGCCTTACGGTAGACACAACGAGTGAATCAACAGAGGCTGGGAGAATTTGTGCACCCATATTTACTCACGCTACTATACTGTAATGCTGAGATGAAGAACCCCCCCCCCCTTCTCTCTCTCTCTCTCTCTCTCCCCAACGCTTTAGGCTACACGAGTGTTGTTGGCGCGAGGCTGACGAAACCATTCACGCCCCGCTCGTTAGTGTTCATTACCGAGGAAGGTTACGTCTTAGGGAACGTCTTTATGAAGCTGACGGGACGCAGTATTGTAGGGAATGTTTACCTGACCGAACGTACTCTAAGAAGGAAGAAAAATGTACTTCCGGATTTACGGGATTTACTGGATTTAAGAGCGCTAAATTTCTGGATGTAGGAGCATGAAAAATCCAAATTTAAATGAACTAAGGATTCGAATTTAAGGGTACTAAACTTCTTGGTTGTAAAGGTACTAAGGATCTGGATTTTAAGGTACTAAAGATTCGGATTTAAAGGTACTGAAGACCGTTTGATGCTATTATTATATGCTAATTCTACTGCTGGTGGCCGAGAGGATACATCGTTCGTCTCTTGTCCTAGGAGTCACTTAATCGCGGCCAGGGCACCCCCAGTCAACCCAGCTGTGAATGGGTCGCTATTTGTCCCCTTGTACAGGATAACGAAAAACAACAACAGTTAAATCTACATTGTTACGGTCAAAGTATATGGGAAGCAATGGGGAAAAACACCTATTCCCTATAGGACTATGGGCCCATTTAAGAAACAAATTTCCTTCACTATACATCTTAACTCTTCTCCCTTTTGTCCATTCCACTTAGCCCACCCGTCCTTAGACATGGCCAGATCCCAAGAATATACGGTGCTATTATCTCTTATCAATGATCAAATTATATTAAAAAAAGTGATGAATAAGATGGTAGTATGTAGTAGGCTGCTACCAAACAGGGAGGTATTACCGCCTGGGAAGATATTGGAAGCATAATGTGTTGTCTAATGGTAGACCCTGCTGCCATATGGCATCACGAAAATTGTGACCAAGTCCCAGGTTTCTGATCTGACTTTCTGCCTCATTTACACACAATTGCAGGGTCTCAATTGTTTCTCTTACTATTGACAACACAACATACATATATTGTTTCTCACTTTTGATTTTTGTTTTAATTTTTGTATTTCTTTATGGTTCTTTATTATCAATAATAATAATAATATTATTATTATATTTTTAGTTTTTAGTTTTTTTATAAATTTCATTTACTGTGAATTATTATTATTGCTATTATTATTGCTATTATTATTATTATTATTATTATTATTATTATTATTATTATTATTATTATTATTATTATTATTATTATTATTATTATTATTATTATTATTATTATTACATTTTCGCCCCCCCCCCCAGGCCCCGATGTGGGTCAGTGACCTGTGCATGGGTGGGCTAATCCCCGTAAAAAAAATAATGAATTTTTTTACATTTATATAAATAAACAATAAAAAAGTATACAAAAATCACTACAAGAGAATTAAGCAAATAATTAATAAAAATACATGGTCAAGAAATAAGAACATCAATGAAAAAAAAAGGACAATTTCCACCAACCTGTCTTAATATTCAAATTTTCTTAAATATTTAATACACACGAATAATAACATCCCTCAGAAACTCAAATTAATCTTTTCGTTTCCGTGGCTCTGGTAACCACAAAAGCCTCCACCAAAACGTAAAACATAAAATCAATAACAGAACTAATCAATCTACTCTCATTGTATCCTGGATGAAAGTCACATACAATAATTACATCACTGTACTGTACCTTGCCGCAGCTCAACACTAAACGCCGTAAATCCTCTGGTAAGTTTCGCACGAGTTCACTGGTTTAAGTAATCTGATGAGTTCTGTCAGGTCGTGTTTATTTATAGTCAGTTTTGGGCGGGCCTCTCCACCTTCATCACAAAAATCTACAATATTTTTAGGATTTACGTTTTTTAGAATTCTTTATTTTTGTTATATAAATTTAAGTTATTATTCAATTTCTTTTTTATTATTATTTTGTTTTTATTTACATTTGGTTGTCTCTTACAATATCATTTTCTAAGGTTATAACTGGACTCTCAGTTTACTGGTAGTCTGCTGCACTTTTAACAAACACTTGTACGCTGTTTATACATACGTGGCCAGTAGGGAAGCTTTGCCAGATCGCATCACACTTTGGGAATTTCGTTGTTGACGCAGCCCACCACTAGATGTCTGTTAAAATCTCCCGCGTATTATTGTAACAACAATATACGGTATCCTCACTACCCCAAACTGTTGGTGATTTTTGTAATGTAATGAAGTAATTTTATTCTTTTATCATATCTGCTGACGTCTCTAAGTTAATGTAAGCGACACTCTATGTTTGAGGAATAAATGCTTGTGCTTTCCAGGTCTTTTTATTTCACATTAATTTGATTTGTAATATTTACGATGTTTTGCTGTTAAGCGATTACTACTGGCATCCAAGCCTTTTTAAGTACACATTCTCACTACAAGAGCATTTATTCCACAGAAGTTAATTTTTTCTTGAAAGGTAAAAACAACTGAAATAGAATTGTGTAGACTATAGATAAACCTTTTCTTTCTTAAAAATGAAAAAAAACCTAAAAATATAATTCTTTCATCATAAATCGCGATTTTTTCCCCTCATGTAACTGTAAGTCGTACAGGAGTATAACTTTCACCTCTCAGTCCAGATAAAAAAAGTTAGTGTAAGGGGATACAAGGGGATGAGCTCTGATTTCCTTGTATTGAAAAAGGCAAAAGAATACATTCCCCCCAAATTCGTATGTACCTTAAAAACAGTAAATCGCAGAGGAAAACGGCTTTCACTAAAATAAACCAGAAAGGTAGATTAAAAACAAAGAAAGGAAAAAAAAAGATTCGTTAAGATAAACTTTTACTTTCTTGAAATAAATAATAATAATAATAATAATAATAATAATAATAATAATAATAATAATAATAATAATAATAATAATAATAATAATAATAATAATAATAATAATACAAAGCTACATATTACTAATGAAAATATGTTCATACTCTTCGTACAGACCAAAAAAAAAAAAAAAATTCAGTCTACTATTTTTACCTAAGGGATGACAAGTACAGCAATTTTTCTCTCTGGAATATTTTACTAAGTTAATATAGTTGATATATAAGAAAGCATGAATATTTATCACACTGCCTATATGATACAAATAATACACGATATTCTAATCTATTTAAGTATTTTATAATCTTAACTTGTAATGTAGACGTAAATGTGTATATGTTTGTGTGCGAAAAATGTCTTTGGATTATGCAATGGAATTTATATTTGGATACGTGCAAGTGCTAGTAGTGAAAGAAACTATTTAGTAAGGTTGGGTTGGGTTAAGTTAAGCTAAGGAAGATTAGCTTAGGTTAGGTTAGGTTAAGTTAAGTTAGGTTCGGTTAGGTTAACTATTAACAACAGTGAGTAAGAGGACAGTGAGTAAGAATAATATGACAAAAAGGGAATTAACAAAAAAACGCAAGAGTATAGAACACTGGAATAACAAGAAACACGAAAAGGAAAACTATGAAATAACCAAAGAAAAAATAACAGAAGTAAACAAAACAAGAAAGGACAAAAAATACGAAACAAAAAAGAGAAAGAAATTAATACAAGAAAAAAAGAAAAACAAAAGAAAGAAATGATATACTCCTCCCCCCGAAATTATTCATATACAGTACCTAGGTCGTGTCTACCCCACTACCCTGCCCAACCCCCCCCTAAAAAAATAACACCTTCCCTTTAATCAACACTAAGCAGATCTTAACACCTGACTAACACACCTTTCCGTAGTAAAGTGGAGCCCTGAGATTGTCCAGACGTGTCCCTGAGTTTATTCATAATCACGGTACGATTATAATTTGAATAATATTATACATAGTGTAAGTGAAAAGAGGAACAGGTATTATCCGGTCGCCCATGTCTAGTACACACCAGCGTAGAGCCTCACTGCCTTACATACCTGTACAGAGGGTGGTACAGTACCTGGGCTGATTATTAAATCTGTGCGTACGTGTTTGACGACTAATGTTCATATACGTACGTGATCTGGGGATATTTGTCGTTGTTTCTCGTTCTTGTTTTCATTTGAATTACTTATTTGCTATTTCAGCGTAAGACTGATCTATTGTTTTCGTAATCTGAGAGCCAGTTCATTGTTTTGTACGTGATCTGAAACCCAGTCCATCATAATAATAAAAATCCATCATACTCAAACACCAACCCATCATACGCAAACAACAACAACAACAACAACAATATATCATATTCCAAAAACCATCCATTATATATTATCTTAAAGACGATTTTTATCATTTAAGTATTTTATCCTTAATTTGCATATTCAAGTAATTCGCGAATATTTAGCACTGGTTTAAAATCTCCAACGTGAAGACTTATTTAAGAAGTTGGTCCGTGTAGTTCCACTTATCTATACACACTCTCACACTCTCACTCTCTTCCTGTCACCTTCATCACTCTCCCTGCTTCCATCTTCCATAATGACCTCAGTGTATAACATCCCACACCTGGCAAAGACCACCTGGGACACCTGCTATCATTATCATCGTCATCATTATCATCGTCATCATTATCATAGCCATTATTAAGTATGATAAGGCCAGAGTCTCGAAAGATGTGTAAATCTGATGCGTCGTCTTGAAAGTTTGTAATTAAGAACTGATTTGCATACGCTACCCTAAGATGTATGTTGGAGTGGGTTGGGTACATGGTTGGTGTGTCTCCTGGGTAGTGGTTGATGATGGTGGGGAAGGGGTAAGTTGATGATGGTGGTAGAGAAGGGGTGGTTGATGATGGTGGTGGGGGAGAGGTGATTGATGATGGTGGTGAAGGAGGGGTGGTTGACGATGGTGATGGGGAGGGGTG